TGCTGAGAAGTTTTCGGACCGTTTTAAAAATCTAAAATTTAAAACCATTTGTGAATAATTGGACTGAGCTAAGAATTTTTCGCAACTCGTATAATTTATTTAAAAAGAAGCCCCTTAAAAAAATTTAGTACTAATTGCATAAGAATTTAATGTTCCTCATCATGATGGACAATCATCGTTGTTGACTGATCATTGAAGAAGAAGAAAGATGCTTTCAGGCTTTTACAAAAGCCGAGAACTCAATTTTTAATGCCCCCGCCCTTCTCTCCGTCTGCGTATGTGTAGAAATGTAATTGTGAAGGAACGAGTTCTCTAACTATTCCAGTACTCTGTGTGTGTGTATATATATATATATATATATATACACACACACCGCTTCTGGTAGCAGTTTTTCATCATTAACGCTCAAATAATTGCGTGTGTGCAAAAATGTTTGTGTACAGGATGTTTTACGGGCTCTGTACGTGTATGATAAGACTAGTCATGCATAGAAATGCTTCGCTGTGCTCTCTAAGAAGGAAAGGCGCTTACAGTTTAGTTTTTTTTACCCCATACACCACCCCTAGTGCGTGAACCTACGACCCTCTGTGTGTGAAGTGTTTTTAAAAAAAAAAAAAATACATCGTCCACTCCCTTAATTTCTTCTCTCTCCCTATCACTCCACTTCCGTTCTTCAACATCATCATCATCATCATCATGTGTGTGTTTTGTTGCGTGTTGGAGAATAAGAGACAGAGGAGGCGGAGGAGGTTCTGCTACTGTCGTTGGCCAGTGTTCGAGTGGAACCAAGAGATGTTTACGGCTTAATTTTTTTTTCTTCTCCTGGAGAAGACAGCAGCAGAGAACGAAGGAAGAAAGAAGGCTGCCTGAAGGACGGAAATGCTGCAGCACTTTGAAACGGTCTGAGTACACCTGCTACTGCTACTACTATTACTACTACTTTACTCAACGGGGTGGGTGGGGGGTACTAAGGGTTTGGAAAGAAGAAGAAAGCTGAGGTGAACTGCCTCAGGAAACCTGGCTGGCGCGCTATAAATCACACTCGGTCAGGAAGACACACACTCATACACACACGCACGAGAAAGCAAGCCCGCTACATGTGATCTACACATACCTAATGAGGGCGAAGCATTCTCATGAAATATATGTGGGTTTAAAATTTTCGTTTACAAATTCAATAAAAATACAGCCAGTTTTTATTTTGCATTTGCTAGTCTAGATGCTTGCAATGTGCTTGCAAATTTTTCTTTTAAAAGCTTTTATTATTGATTAAACGTTGTGTGTGTGTGTGCGCGCGCACACACGAAGGAATGGTGAAAACTTCGTTACAAAAGTAAAATGAATTTAAACAAAATAAATAAAAATCTAACTAAATGACCAAATATAATTTTTGTTTTTTAGTTGGGTCGGAATTTTCAGCACCCCCTTATACGCATTTGTATATTTCTTTACTTACGTGCTCGTTAAAAAAAAGGCTTTTTAATACGCATAAAGTAACATTAATAACATTATTTACCCATTTATAGCTCCCTACATGGGTAAAAAATAAAAATCTGTGTGTGTGTGTGTAATCTGTCTCTAGCTATCTATCTATAATAATCAAGTGATTTTTGTGATGGAGCGACAAATGTTTGGCAGCAGTTTGTTTTTAAATCCCACTTTCAATCCTTTATTAATTAAAAAAAAAAAAAAAAAATATTTTAATTTACGCGTCGTGTAACCAAATGGTTTTCTTATTCATTGGGTTTTGCTTGTCTTGCAATCAATCATTATTTCAGTGCTTGATCGATCGATTCTAGTTTTCCATACATTTTTTATATGTTCTTCCCTTCCCTCTCCTAGTAGTAAGTAGGTAGACTATTTTTGTTTAAGTTTTGGACTATCCTGTTCCAAGTTCTAATGTACTAGAAATAATTCAAGGAAAGACCTATATGCATTTTTTTCTGATCTGGGATATATTTTTATTTTTTGTAATGTCCTTTAATGAAGCGCGCTGTGAGAGAGCGAAAAAACATTTTGCTCAAGGCCTAGATGCCTGAACCAAGTCAAGCAAACTATGTATACCAATAAATACATTTTCTCTTGTGGCAGACTAAAAACAAGCTTAAGCTTATCTGTTACAAGAGAAAACGATTCAGAAGACTGGTGCAACACAATCTTCCATAAGAGGGAGAAGGCTGTGCACCATGAAAATTGGCAGCGTATATTTTTGGCCTTAAAAATAACCTCCTCGAAATTGTCCATAAAAATATCAAGCGTGACAGTTGCTCAACCAGTCTGTCTAGTTAGAGAACTCCTTAGTAGGTGATATGAAGCAGCCACCTGTCAAATATATTAGATATATGGAGTGTTAATTTCTTTCTTGTCTGTGTAGGTGTGCACTGTAGCATTTCAGTGTTGGGGGAGACAGTTATAGTAGGTTGTGCCTGATTGTGTGATATACGTTCGTGTGTGAGTGAGATTGTGCGTCTGATGTATTTTTTGTGTGTGTGTGATGGTTTGGCAACAGTATGATAAGTAGGATTTCCTTTCCTGGCTTCGTGTGTGTGTGTGTGTGTGTGTGTGTTTTCTTTTCTTTAGGAGGAGGAGGAGGTATTTTCTCTTTTTCTTCTTCTTCGTCACTTTTATGAATGTTGTTTTCATTTTCCCACAATTTTTACGTGTACTCTCTTTGGAAAGAGCAGAAATCTCTCTCTCTCTCTCCTCCATATGCCAGGTCTCTTCAGGAGGTGGGCAATATTTCGGCCTCCGTTGCTTCCTTTTTGTTCTGTCGCTCTCATAGAAACGTCTATTTCCATAACTACCAAATATAAGCTACGTTTTCTTTCCTCTCTCTCAATCACGCACACAATCCCTCACTCTCTATTTACACTTTACAGCATACAATTGTATTGAGTGTGTGTATGTGTTGATCCTTTTTTTCCTCTAGTCTATGATTATAAGCGCGCATTTTCTCTGTAAAACGTTCTACATGATGAACCTTTGTTCCCCCCCCCCCGTTTGTGGTCATTGGAGCCAACTCATTTTTCTTTGGTTTCTTGATGTTACACTCATGTTTTATATATATATATATATATATATATATGAGAGACAGAGATTAAAGACTAAAAAAAAGTAAAAAGAGTGACAGTACACAGACACTAGTCCACTCATTTAAAAAAACACAAAAATAAGTACGGAAAATTTGGGTAGAAATAATTTTGTAACTTTGTTGATTAGCATTCTATACATTCCTTAGGCTGTGACACTTGTCAGAATCGACAAATATTGATTTGTTATCGATTTACAAGGGGGTCTTGTTTATAATATCGATACAGTGTCAAATTGATCCCTGATTTTAAAGAGTTACTGGCCTTAGACTAAATCACTCAGTTCAGTTGTTATTTAATTTACAAATGTCAATTTTGAAAATGTGATATCTTCTTCTTAGTTTTATCTTTTCCGAATTTTTATTCTTTTTCTAACTTTTAAAATTTTTTAAAACTATTTTCTGTGTGTGATTTTTTTTAAAATTTATTTTTAGGAGTGGGGGGTGCGGGAAAGCAGGTCGTCAAGAAAATACTCTTCTTGTAGGTAGTTTTTATTTCTTTCTTTCTTATCGCTGTCTTGCCTTATGTTTTAGTCTCTGCCCTATTCTCGTTCAAGGCCAAGTCTTGACACGAGGACTCACCACCCAATAATTGTCTCTCTTTCTTTGTGATGACAACTTTTCTTATTCCGACCCCACTCTTCCTAGCCTAGGCACCACATCTCCCTCTTTTGAATACCGCTATTTTCTGTTAATTCTGTACCAAAGCCTTCCTGAATAATTGTCCGTCGTCTTGTTTTTCTTATCAATTTTATTAGTGAAATGCTGTTGGTCATTTTTCCAGCGCCTCCACCGAGACACATAAGTTCTGTCTTCTGTTCATTGGTGGTTGTCTTGATAAATGATTGATAAAAAAATGGTGAGAAAGTCACCATTTCCGTTTTTGGTTGGTGGGGGTTGATCACAGCGAAAATATTTTCATTCATAAAAGTCATATTTTGATAATTGAAAATTTTCTTTTTAATAACGTGATTTTATTACAAACATATTGCAAACTCACAAAAGTAAAACTGTATTGTCAGTGTGTAAAAAGGACATTGTCAGTAAAAATAAAAAATGTATTTTAAAAAATATTTTATTACTATTTAAAATAAATGATTTCTTATTTTTAATAAACAAGATATCATTTCTGCCATGAGACTGCTATCGATATTTTTTATTAAAAGTAAAACAATTACTTTTTTTTTTTTTTTTTTTTTTTTTTCTTTTTTCTTTTTAACTCAAAGATGGCAAAAAAAGCCACTGTGAAAAGAAATAATCTCTTTTCATATTACTATAGAATTAAGAAAACACTCCAGATATAAAATTTTAAAAAAGGGGTGAAGTCCAGTTTATTGTAAATTAATTTCCCTATGAAAGCCCAAACAAAAAAAAAATTTTTTTTTTGCTTTTTTTAATTCTGTAACCTGAATGAAGTGCATAATCGATATTTAGTGAATGAAAGAAAGAAGAATTTAATTTTTTTAATTTTTTTTTTTATTTGGTTTTGGTTTTTGTAGTGGGAGGGTCAGTTACAACTGCACCTGCTCACATCAACTTTTACAAAATTTACTTTTTTTTTTATTTATTTAGATCATAATATGAAAAAAAAATTCTGGTCTCTCTGCCTATTATTGTACAGTTGAACAGTTACAAATACAGATTTAAATGAAAATGTTTTTCTCTGCCCCCCCCCCCAAACATGATCTTTTATTTTTCTTACAGTCCTTTGCTTGGTATATCTTGTATCAGAAGGATGTTTTGAATATCTCATGTCATAACCATATGCTTAATTCCCCACCTTCTATATTTTCAAGAATTGTAGCCACTATGAAGTGTGTATGTTTGGGGCTGGTTACATGCTAAAAATGTAGATTGAAAAAAGAAAAAAATGTTTTTAGTTATTGATTTATTGCTTTTCCTCTCCTTTCAGGCTGCAAATTGAGCAAGGTCCGGCATTTGGGTGCCACATTACGTGTCCGTCCCATCCCCAGAAGAGTTGCACCAGCATCAGTGTTGGCTAGAGAATCAGACATCAAAATTTCTCACTGACCCAGTTTTGTTCTTTTTTTTTTTTTTTTTTTCATTTCCTCCTTGTTGCTGCTGAGGTTCCCTCCTCATCTTCCTGTGTTAGCCCTTCCCTCTTAATGCAAGAATTTACTCTCTGAACAAAGTCTTTGAGAGGCTACCGTCAAAGAAAATCTACAAACTTGAAGAAAAACAAAAAAAAAATAAATACCGATTTTCCAAAGTTAGTTCTGCTTTACCACTTGTGGAAGATTTTCTGGACGTAAAAGAGGAAAGAAGCAGCAAAAAAAACAAAACAAAAGAAAACAAAACTTTCCTCTTTTGTGAGATGTTCCCATTCCCTGAAAGAGAATCTCCTTAAATTAAATAAAACTATAGAAATAAATAACAATAGGCAAGACACGCATACACACACAAAAAAAAAATATATAAAACACTTTCACTTGTTCATAATTACATTATAAATAAAAAAAAAATGTAACTAAAATAGTTTAAGATATAATCTACTTACCCAACGAACACACCAGAGTTACCTCCCTTTTAAGACTAAAAAAAAAAAAAAAAAATCTGAAGATATAAAATATTTGGAAAGGTTAAGAAAACGAAATATATAAAACATATTTCATTTAGTAATTTTATATTAAATAAAAAATAAAAATATACCTTTTGAAACATATCAATACATTTATTCTTGTAGATGTAAATTTGCCTGTATTTTTATTTTGTCTATACATTTAATCAATAGGTATCGTCTCCTTTCTACCTTTTCTCGACTTTATATACTTGAAATATCATTACATTTACTTGTCCAAATAGATACACAGAGAAACGCATCTACATTTAACTCACGCACATATATATATATATAAAAACATAAAATTAGAAATATATAAATATATGTATAAAAATACCCCAATGCAACCAGAGGAGACAGTTTGTGTTGAGCACATATTGGAACCTATTTTCAGTCACAGGTGTGTTTTTACGAGTGCAGTAAATACATCCGTCGTAGGTGTGTTTATGAAATCTCATAGATGCAAAAAAAAAAAAGAAAAACAAGATCTTTTTCAAAGTTTTGATGTAAGTCTCTAAGTCAAAAAGAAAATTGGGGGGGTTAGTAAGAAGGTTAAAGGTTAACATTTAAAAAAAAAAAAAAAAAAAATAGCATTGAATTTAGCCCAAACTATGTCTACAAATCGCAAACGAGGTGTTAGCGGCAAACCTGCCAAGCATGACCAGGTGCCAAAAGGCCCTGGAAAAGCTGTTAGTGATCAGGCTGATGGAGATTCCTTATCAGAGACTGGGAACAATGAACAGAAAGTGCGTAAGGTCGGGCGACCAAGGAAATATCCGGTGGGCACTCCAGTTGCCTCTGGTGGAAATTCAGGTTCGACACCAGGGAAGGGATCAGCAGCATCATTATCATCGTCATCATCTGGGACTAGTGATGTCAACAAAAAATCTATACTCAGCACAAATGATTCTCCAAAAAAAGTACCAAAGATGAAGAAAATGGTGCAAGCTGACAGTAAGAAAAAAAATGTCAATAAACGTGCCATGGAACTTGAAGACACATCCAAAAAAGCCATCGATAAACTCCAGAAAGCAAAGACTAAGACAAAACTACTAGAATTGGACAAGAAAAAGCAGCTAGGGGTAGGGAAAGTGGTCAGTAAGAAGAAAACGGTGACCAAAGTAAAGAAGTCTGTTGGCAGCACCAAAAAAAATTCCAAAGACGCTCAGGCCAAACTGAAGAGCAAGAGTGGTACTGGCGGGGCTGCTTCTTCGTCATCGTCGTCTTCAACAAAAGATTCGAAGCCCTCAAAGGCGAAGAAGTTGGCCCAGAGTGTAGAAACAGAGAACAGTTCATCTAAAAAGGCTAAAAAATTAGCTGCTAAGAAAGTGAAACTGAAGAAATTAGCCAAGGTAAAAACGAAAGTGCTTCATGCTGACAAGAAGACGAAAAAAAAGAAAGTTCTTGTTGGAGGCAAAGTAGCCAAAGCAAAGAAACTTGCTCAAGGAACACAGGCCTCTATCCCTAAACAGAAACAGAGCAAGAAAGTCGCATCAGTTTCAGCAAACTCTGGTGATGATCAGAAAAAGGTTGTGTTAGACTTGAAAAAAAAACCTGGACCAGTGAAAGGGAGTAAGCGTCTTGTGCAAAAGGTTTCAGTTTCTGGAGAAAACAGCAGCAAAATCCGCAAAGTCAGCAAATCCCTTGCCGAGAAGGTGCAAAAAATCAAGGGCAAAACTCTCATGAAGATTGAAAAGTCCAAGCAAAGAAAAGAGACTGAGGATTCTGATTTGGATGGGCCTGTGACATCTGGCAAGCGGAAAAAAGTGGACTCTGTTGATGCAAAACAGCCAGCCATCAAAAAGTCCAAAATCACTGGCCAGCGGTCAGAGACGTTGACCAAGACTGTCGCCAAAGTTTCAGCAGCTGAAATCTCCAACCTGAGTGCCCTTTCTGCTACAAGCGAGGAGAAACCAGATATTTCAGATAAGGTTTGTTTGCCACCCTCTGTCACCCATGATGCAGAGGAAACTGACATTCCATTTGTACATAAAAAACGCTACGTGTACAAGGGATCATCACAAGAGCATTCAGTTGAGTCTTTAGATGTTGATCCAAATAATATGGCTGTCAGTGAGGACACTGAAAAAGGACAAAATCTCTCACATGAAGGGGATTTGGACACTGTCTCATGTGCACTTGATGGTGCGCAGGTGACAAAATCTTGTGATGCTAGCAGTGTGCTGGTGCCAGCTCCTAATGAGATTGGTGTTGTACAGCTGCAGGCTCCAAGCCCAGTGAGCAATGTGCAGATACCAGCTCCCAGTGCTGTGGTGAAGGAACAAGTGTCAACAGCCAGTAGAGATTATTCTAAAGAGGTTGCAGCTATAGACAATGTGAAAATAACTGTTCCTTGTACAGTAGATGGTGAGAAAGTGGAGGCCTCTGTTAAGGCTGGAAGTGGACAGTCGGCGGCCCCCGTTAAATCTGTCATCGGACCGTCGGAGGCCCCCGTTAAGTCTGTCATCGGACCGTCGGAGGCCCCCGTTAAGTCTGTCATCGGGCCGTCGGAGGCCCCCGTTAAGTCTGTCATCGGGCCGTCCGGAGGCCCCGTTAAGTCTGTCGCCGGACCGCCGGAGGCCCCGTTAAGTCTGTCGCCGGACCGCCGGAGGCCCCGTTAAGTCTGTCATCGGACCGTCGGAGGCCCCCGTTAAGTCTGTCATCGGACCGTCGGAGACCACCGTTAAGTCTGTCATCGGACCGTCGGAGACCACCGTTAAGTCTGTCATCGGACCGTCGGAGACCACCGTTAAGTCTGTCATCGGACCGTCGGGGGCTCCCGTTAAATCTGTCATCGGGCCATTGGGGGACCCCGTTAAGTCTGTCATCGGGTTGTCGGAGTCGCCTGTTATTGAACTGTCGGAGGCTCCAACTAAGTCTGTCATTAGACCATTGGAGGTGCCAACTAAGTCCGTCATCGGACCGTCGGAAGCGCCAACTAAGTCTGTCATCGGGCTGTCTGGGGCACCAGCCGAGTCTGTCATCAAGCCATCAATGGCGCCTGTTAAGCCTGCCATTGGTCTGTTGGAGGTGCCAGTTAAGCCTGCCATTGGTCTGTTGGAGGTGCCAGTTAAGCCTGCCATTGGTCTGTTGGAGGTGCCAGTTAAGCCTGCCATTGGTCTGTTGGAGGTGCCAGTTAAGCCTGCCATTGGTCTGTTGGAGGTGCCAGTTAAGCCTGCCATTGGTCTGTTGGAGGTGCCAGTTAAGCCTGCCATTGGTCTGTTGGAGGCACCAGCTAAGCCTGCCATTGGGCCGCCAGCTAAGCCTGCCATTGGGCCGCCGGGGTTGCCAGCTAAGCCTGCCATCGTGCCACTAGCTAAGCCTACTATCGTGCTGTCGGGGTCGCCTGCTAAGCCTGTCGTCGTGCCGCTGGCTAAGCCTACAATCGTGCTGTCGGGGTTGCCAGCTAAGCCTGCCATCGGGTCGTCGGGGTTGCCAGCTAAGCCTGCCATCGGGCCGTCGGAGTCGCCAGTTAAGCCTGCCATCGGACCATCAGTTAAGTCTGCTATTGAGCCATTGAGGTCGCCAGCCAGGCCTGCCATCGGGCCGTCGGGGTCACCAGCTACACCCGACATCGAGCCGTCAGCTACGCCAGCCATCAGGTTGTCGGGGCCGCCAGCTACGCCTGCTATCGGGCTGTCGGGTGTGCCAAGTCAGTCTGCCATTGGGACATCCGGGGTGCCAGCTATGTCTACCATCAGGCCGTCGGAGTCACCAGCTACATCTGCAATCAGATCTTCAGGGTCACCTGCAAAGTCTGTCAACAGGCCGTCGGAGTTGCCTGCAAAGTCCATCATTGGTGTGTCAGAGGCATCAGCTAACTCTGTCATTGGACTGATAGAGGCTCCTATTAAAACTGATAGTGGACAGACTGATAGTGAAGATATCGGTACCCAAAGTACCTTTGTCAATGAACAGAGTGCTAAATCTTGTACATTGACTAATAAAGACACTAGGCAAATACTTTCAGTTGAAATTGCTGAAAATATGTTAAACACTTCTTGCTCAGCTGTCGACAAATATACTAAGAGCTCCTTGTGTGAGTCAGAGAGTATGGGTAATAGATCGTCCAGTTTTATGGACAGTGAAAAGGTTCCTAGTTCTAGCCAGATTGATCATGTGGGTGTAGGGGAAACAAGACTGAACTACATCCATAATGAAACAGTTGATGGCAAAGAGAAAATTGTAAATATTCCTAAAGCTGAAAATCAGAAATCTACCTTTTCTGTGCAAAGTAGTGAAGTTACAAGACCTTCGTTGCATGATCTGGCTGAGATTGAAGAAAAACCAGACAGATTGCCTTTAAATGTTGTTGACAGTAAACAAAAAATGCCTCTGGTTCTCAACAAATCATCGGTCTTAGAGAATTCAGATCCAAAGGTTTTTAATTCTTTGGACAAGTTAAACAGCAATGCTAATTTGGCAATTCAGAAGTCTACAGGCAGCATTACCACTATGCAATGCTGTGAGAAGTCAGTTCAAAATGCATTAACAGTGAAAAGCTTTGTTGGTGATATTGATTCTCAAGTGACATCTTCCAAGAGAGACAAAACCGATGACTCATGTGCTGAAGTTAAAAAGGATGAGCAGCAACTTAAGGATGGAGATGAAGCTGCAAAATCTGAGATGTGTGTGCCCAGAGCTAACAGCTCGTCTTCAGAATGTTCCTTGCAAACACCTGTTGCCATTCCTGTGCATATCAAGGATGAAGTAGCAATGGAAAAGCAAAAAGAAAATCAAGCTGCTTCTGACTGTTCTGAAGTGAAGAATTCTTCAGCTGGACAAGATCTTTCAGTCACTATGACGGTGCAACCTTCGGAAACAACCAAAGTGATTTTACATGAAGCAGATTCTGAACCAAACCGAGAGAAACAACCAACATTGTCAGACATTGATGCAGTATCGGCATTCTCGAAGACTTCGTCAACTCTGTTGCATGCCACTTGTAAATCATCAGAATTGTTGCCAACCAAAGATTCTAGGAGTCTCCTCAAAGACTTTAGTGAACACAATGCAGTTGATGTTGATTTTGAAAAACCCAGCCAGCATCATGATGACATTTCTGATTTAAAACCTAAAACATTCTTGTCAGCAGAAAATAAAAATAAAAAAGGTTTAGAATTGGTCACTGTCACTTATTCCAAAACAGATTTCCCACCAAGATCTTTACAGAAATTATCCTCAGAGGAAGCCTCTTGCCAAGCCGAAGCATCTACCATTTCAAAATCTGTGAACATTCCTGCAGCATCATCAGCTTGTTCGGAATTACCAGCGGTGCCATTACTCTCTACCAAACAGCAGGTTTCTAAAGTATCTTGTGACAAGACCATTGTCTCAAACCAGCCACAGTCTGTTAGCAGCAAAGATAAGAACATATTTGCATCATTTTCAGATTTGGATAGCTCTTTGTGCCAGAAGACAAGGTCAGTTATCAAAATGGCTCCCAAGGCTGAAACAGCTGCAACCGAGGTATCTCTGGCTGACAGAAACATTGTTCCATTGCCTACAAACAGACAGTCTTCTTTTACACAGGTAGAATCATTGTCCATGGAGAAAAGTCTCCCATTAACAAGTAGCATAACAGTGACCCAGGGGGACAGTATCACTTCCTCCTCTGTTTCTTCTTCTTCATCACCATCATCCTCATCTCTAAAGTCTGCCGTCAATGCCTTAAAAGTCTCACCCAATGACCCATCTAAAAAAGACTCCTCCACAGCCTTCCACGAACTGGCACCATCATCTCTGACCCCTTCTGCATTTTCTCCTTTAAGTTTAAAAAATGACATTTCTAAAACTTCTATAAATTTATCCAAAGACACAACCAATTTTATAAGCCAAAATTTAGTCTCGGATAGTCTTTTGTGTAAAGCATCAGAGGTCACTTCCAAAAGTGACCAGTGTGATTCAAAGGCTACTCTGATGGCAGAAAGCTTAGTTTTGGGGTCCAAACGTCCCTTCATGGCCCAGAAGGGGGAGTACAGTATTGGTCAGTTGGAAAATCAAGGCGATTCAGCAAAGAAGAGTTCTGCAGTTGCTCTTTCAGCTGCAGTGAAAGATCCTTGTCCAAACATCTTCTCTAAACTGGACGATTTGATTACATCCAAAGTAACTGGGAAGGGAAGCGATCTGAAAGAGTTGCCTTCTGCTGTTTCCAAAGCAAAGGACAAGATATGTGATTCAAAAGCATTAAGTCAGATCATTTCTTCGGAAAATAAAGACACACCCATTTCTGCTAAGTCAGCTGAACAAGATGTCGGTTCTCTTGATGCTGCTTATTTTGAAACTCCTGTCCACCTGACAAAGGATTCTAATATTGATATGCAAACTGGATCAAAATCACAAGGGTTAGCTACAGAAAAAGAAATTTTGCCTGCCACAGAGAAAAATCCTAGTGATTCTCTAAATATTACAGCCACTGAAATGACTGTGGAAGTTAATAAAATTGATCAGGTTTCTTGTAAACCTCCCACGAATGCTCAGTTAGAAACAGAAGCGAAAACAGTTTCTGTAACAACTGAGATCGGTTTGTCATCAGAGCCCAAATCAGAATGTGAGAATGATTTGTTCAAAGAGTCTAAAGCAGAAACATCTAAGAAATCTACTTTGACTGAGGAACGTAAAGATTCTTCCTTTGTTCTCGAGACAGAAAGACAACAGTCACAGAAAGTATTCTCACAGAAAGTTGAAAAAGAAATTAAAGTTGAAACAGAGCCCTCAAAATCTTTAAGTGACTCCTCAGAAAAACCAAAGCAGTCATTATCTATTGAGAAAACCCCAGCAGAAATGGAAATTAATACACTCTTGCCTTCATGTAAGTGTGACCCTCAGGTTCAGAGTTTGACTGACGCACCATTGAGTCCTAAAACCCCAAGTCTAGCTGTTGTAAAAACAAGTGATCATTCAACAACTGAAATGATAGTGGTCGAAAAACCCGAGAGTGTTAGTATAAATACTGTCACTTTACAGTCAACGTCTATCAAGGGAGATAACTCTCAGTTGGCACCTAAAAACAAAATCGATGAAGAACCTGTTTCAAAACATTCCCTGCATGACGCAGAAGAAACAAGTCTTGCAAAGAGTGATTCATCTCCAATGCAGGTTACGGAAAAAAAATTGAATGAAGATGTACAAGGATGCAAAGACAATGACGCTAAAACATTGGACAAAAAAGAGGAAAAAACATCAACAGAATCTGATGATCATGTTTCAACCATTAATACAATGGCCAAAACATCCATTGTTCCCATTGCCGAAGAGGCCTCAGCAAAAGAGATGGCTGTAGACGCTCACTGCCCTCAAGTTGAAGACCATAAAGAGAAAAACAAAGAAGACTTAAAGGAGACATCGCAGAATCTAGTAGGAAATGTTGATGAGGATCCCAAACCAGCACAACTGGTGTCACCCCAAACTACCTCAGACTCACAAAAGGTGTCGGTGGATGCTCTCAGCCCCAAACAAGATGAAGGAAAGACTCAACAAGCAAACCTTGTTGCGAAATCTCCAAAGACAGTTGATGAAGCAGCTGGAACGGACAAAGACACTGCTTTGGGGGAAGATGCTGACACAGCTGTTAAAAGTAAACCATTATCAAAAAGCTCTATATCCAATGTGAAATCAGAAGGGACCAGTACCCTGCAGGTTGTTGACTCCCCACAAATTCCTAACCCTGAACAAGATGACAAGGTCAACAGTAAGGACCAAACAGCTGCAAATGACCTGAAACCACAATCCCATAAGAAAACCGACCCAGAGCTACCCAAACCCATTGTCACATCTTCTAACGCTGGAACTATCACTGCCGAATCTATTAAAACCCAGAATGAGAAAACGAGCGATAAAGTTCTCCAGCCAGAGAAGAAACTGAGCAACACAGCCATTCTCGAGCCTCCACCCACCCCTTATCCACCACCTTATCTCTCACCAAAGCATCTCCAAGATTCTGCAGATGAAACTTCAGCCACACGGGGCAAGGTTGGGAACAGCTCCTCTCCATTGGCAGTTGCTCGATCCAAGGTTGTAACTCGGCCGTCATTTGTGGTCCTTGACAATTGCTTTGTATGCGTCATTTGTTATCAAACGTGTCAAAGCAAGCGGACATTTCAAGCACACATTTGGTGGCATTTTCACGTGTGCAGCAAACTTTGTAACCACTGTCCTAGCGTGCAGAAAAATGCAGATAGCACTGTTGGATTGCAGCAGCAGCCACACAAGTGTCCTTACGTTTTGGATGTGATGTTGAAAATCTGCCGTGCCCGGAAAAAAATGCACCGGTCAATCGTCCGGTCAGATGCTGACCAGAGTAACCGTGAGAAAACGTTTGCAGAGGATGAGACTGATACAGAAAGCGTGGACTTGGATTACGAACTGGGCAACGGTGGTAGTGGTGGCGGAGGTGACATTTTTGGTGGCAAACCCACTGATCAGTCGCTGCTCTCCACATCCCAAGGGCAAGACATAGCTCAGTCGGAAAAAGACGGCAAATCCTACACCAACCTCACAGATGACAACAACAGCATCTTTGCACCGGCAAATGTCGACTATCTCCGCTCGCTATACTCGAGTGGCAGCAAAAAGCGCACCAAGAAATCGTCGTCGGCCTCAAACGCCCAGAACCACCACCACCACCACCATCACCACCACCACCACCACCACAGTTCTTCCTCTTCGTCTTCCTCGTCCACTTCTTCCTCTATGGTTACTTCGTCGGCATCAGCTACTGCCCAGAAGAAAGGTAGCTTTTATGTGTGTGGCTTTCAGTATTGCACCTATTCTTGCATGAATTGCCTGCAGTTCCGTCTACACCTACAGCAGTGTCATAACTTTGAGACAGTCTTTCCATGCTACCACTGTGGTCAGATGAACTATTCAAAGGACGATCTCATCAAGCACATGTACAACCACTCCAATGCTCGAGATTTTCTCCTCTTCCGCTGCTCCTTTCCCCGTTGCCGATTTGGCTCTAACATGCTGCAGGAATTCCATGAACACAACAATATTTTTCATGTCGGCGAGCTGGTCTTTACTTGTTTCTACTGCAGTACAGAGTTCTCGGAGCTGTCCCAGCTCCTTGCCCATTTGCAGTCAAATCTTCTCAAATTTGTGCAGTGTCCTCACTGCACGGTGAAGGATCGCAACCGCCGAACGGTCCTCAACCATATCTCGACAGAACATCCACTGAAGCCCAAGCAAATTGTTGTCACCAGCCAAGTGGTGTGCAAGAAGAAACAGACTGTATCCCCTGACCAGAACTCGGAACTCTCACAGCACCAGCAACAGCTTAACCTTCACCGGAGCCTTTCTGAGGACCGGATCCTTGAGTGCATCAAATGCGGGTTGTTGTGTCGAAATATTGCAACCCTCCGAAGGCACTCTCGGGTCTGCCTGAAGGATGCTCTCTCACACAAGAAATCGTTTGCCTCGTCACCCAAAGAGAACCACTGGACTCTGGTCTATTCTTGTCAGTGGTGTAGCTTTCCGGCTTCGTCTGACACAATGCTTTTTCAACACACAGTCGACCAGCATCCAGGTAAAAATGCCAACTTTGAACAGATAGAGTTAAAGATATCTGGGTCAAGCGGCAACAGCGGCGAATCAAGGCTGTCTACGTCGTCTTGGCTTGAAGCAGCTAAAAGTGGCGCTTTCATCTGTCCGTATTGCAAAGTGGCATTTCACAACGAGAGAAATTGGAGCGAGCACATGGAACGAGAGCACAATGGAGACGAGCATGATATCAGCAACAAGAAGGGGCTTGATGGGGAGATGAAATACCCGTGTGACTTCTGTGAATTTAATGGTACCTCGGAGCAAGACCTTCACGAACACCAGCAGATCATGACAGCAACGGAAGGGCCCGATGGCATGCATCGGAAAGTCGTTGACTTGGCCAACATCACTCCGAAGGTGACCTTATTGACTGACACGAAACTGACTGTGAGTAATGTTCTTTCGTTTAAGCGTTTCAAACGCTCTCCAAGCAAAAAGATGAACAATGCTTATTTCAAATGTTCAGGTTGCCATTTCCGCAGCCTGAGCAAGTGGCAATCGCTCAGGCATGTCAAGCACTGCTCACTTGCCAAAAGGCGCCTCTCAGAGTATATCCGCAAACGCAGTGCCATGGGTAATGGTGGCACAGATGATGTAAAAATTGAACCCGTGGACCTGGACATTAAACCGTTGGAAATGGATGAAGAGCCCCTGTCGTCAGCATCGCCATCCTCAGACCGTCCAAAGACAGCCCTCGAGGATGCTGAAGTGCGTAATGAGTGGAGCACACGGATGATGTCGTACATGAGGGACAAGCAGATGAACCTGATGGCCAAGGAAGGGATCCTTGACTGCACAGATTCTGAAGGGTATCGTTGCTCAATATGCCGGCACACGGGCAAGACTATGATCAACATACGGCAACACTTGTGGAAGACACATCTGAAGTTGAAGCCCGTCCACTGCCCCTGCTGTCCGTTCACTTCGTGGAAGAACTACACCCTGGAGAAGCACAAGATCAGCAAGCATCACCATTCCCATCCGAATTTGTCCGACTATGAGATGAAGACTCTCGCCCAGAACCTGCAAGGCACATCTGACGGTCTCGTCGATTGCCAGCTCTGCTTCTACAAGAGCCCTAGTTCCTACAAAGTGCGTACGCATATCTGGCGGACACACATGCACCTGGAGATGAAACAATGTTCATTGTGTGCGTACAAATGTTGGTATTTGTACTTAATGAATATGCATCAGTTGTCACGACACAAGTCCGACAAGCTGCGGGCTGTTGACGGGAAACCAAGCAAGGAAGAAATGGATGTCGATGACAATGACGATGACAATGGGGCCAAGCTGACCAAAACTGCAGCTGATAATATCTGTAACCTCCTGGGAAATAGTAGCACGATGTCGGATGAGGACATGAGCCTGTCTGCGAAAGGACTGATGGAGAAAAAATCGGGTAACAAGTATGAGTGCTGCGTGTGCCGATACGAGTGTACGCGCATTATGATAATGAAGATCCACATTTGGAAACGACACCTGAACATCAAGCAAAGACGATGTCCACGTTGCCCATACATATGTTGGCTCCAAAGCCGCTTAGAGCAGCATGTCTGTCGATTTGCTACCTCAGGTTCCATCAAAAGCATCATTGACGATGGTGGTGGCGGCGGCAGTGGCAGCAGCAACAGCGATGCGTCTACCATGTACACCAAAGAGAGCAAATCGCGATGGGTCATCTCCAAGGCTGACGAATTTGGTTGCAAATTGTACATAAACAAATCTAAATGTCCGCAGAAGCGGCTGTCGATGGATGAGTCAAGCCAGCCCACCCCAAAGAAATTCCGCTCCATGTCAGACAGCGGAACTGTCACTAACAGTGGTGGTGGTGGTGGTGGTGGTGGTAGGGGCGCCACGACGACGACAAATTTTTCAAAAGGCAGTAAGAACTTCTCTTGGATCCGACACACTTGGGAGAACTCTGTGACGCAATCGTTCTTCCGAGTTGGGTGTCGGAAGCTGTTTGCGCGTACTACAGATCGTGTCAACCAGATGGAGATATTTACATGTGTCTACTGCAGCTACAAGTCATGGAACATGGAGGCAATGTGCCACCATAGCTATAAACACAAACTGCAATGCGGCTACTGTTTGTTTAGAGCATATAGTAGGTAAGTAACCGCTTTTTAATCTTTCTTTTTTTTTTTTTTTTTTTTTTTTTTATTCTTCCTCCAAACCCTCAGAGTCCTGGGAATGATGATAAACTTCATCCCGCAGCATGGCTTCTGATTAGGAGATTGGAGGCTTTGAGGAGCAGGGAGCCACATCTTAATTGCTGCTGTTCTCAGATCCACCCTGACCTGGGATAGTAGCACCTGTTATGGTCCCAGCTATGGGAAAATAGTGACCCCCCCCCCGACGCACGCACGCAAACACACAAAAATCAACAATAGATTTTTATAGTGAAATGACAATCAATACAACACTAAAAAAAAATATAAAAATAACATTTTTATAGTAAAATACCCCCCAAAAATACATTTTATGATCTACAAAATATATATAAAAAAAAAAAAAAAAAAAAAACTTTACCTAGCAAGTATAAAACTATGTACAAAATATGTAGGTTTCTGCATTAAATAACCCATAGAGGTGTTAATATGCAGCTAAACAAAATCAACCAATCCTTCAAACTCAAATGCCTTGTGGATTAAAATGTTGGTTCACGAATTTTGTTACATAGTAATTGTGAGTTCAATCCCTGGGCTGGGTAGTGCAAACTGATTCAATGGAAACAGGATGGTGATATTCTAAGTGTAGCTTAGATGTGGCACAAGGCCGAAAATATTCAGTTGTAATTGATCTAGCAAGCCAAGCTTACAGCACGTCAAAGTGCTCACACTCAATGGAAATAGGCTGAACAATAACTGAGCAGTATTAAATAACAAACAAGAAGGGATATCCGTAGATATGAACAGCAGAACAATCTTTCCTTGCAGATTTAAATAAAGGCTTCAATTAGAAATTCCCTAAAGGTTACGTATATCTATCGTCACCTTAAGAAGGCTAGAAGTCACAATGACCAAATGTGATAACAGGATGAGGGTCTGAATATAAATAATCATGCACATATATTTTTTATTACTTCAAATATTAATTTTAGTGGATCCCCATGTTTGAAATAGATATCCCTTTTCCTTTTTTTTTTTTTTTTTTTTAAACAATGTATATTACATCTACTAATCTGCACACTGGAAAGAGGGGTTAATAAAGAAACCTGTGTCCTCCTTTGCATCCACAGAGAGCATCACAGACCAATGATGTTGCATTTCTTTCTTAAGGAAAGCACGTTTCCATGTTCAGCTTTTTCTTGAAAGCCCAGATCTTTTCAGCTTCATATCCAAAACATAAACAATGCATTAATAGATTTATTTTTAATCTGACTTTTTTTTATTACATCAAATGTTATTTTTAGTGGATACCCTTATTTCAAATATACACCTACTTTTTTTATTTTAAATATGTATTATGTCTACTGGTCTGTGCATTTGAGAAAATTTAAACAAGAAAATAGAAAATGTGTTTTGCAACAAGGTTCTAACATGTGTACCCCCTTGTTTTAGGAACCACCATTTCATCTGACATGCCTTATACCCCTTGACCACAGAGAACCTAACAGACCAGCCAGGTTCTATTTCCCTTTTAAGGAAAACACATTTCCATCTTTAGATTTTTCTCAAAAATTTCTGCTCAATTGCTAGAAATTTTTGTTCAATTTAATATCCAAAATATAAACAAAGCAATTTTAAAGAATTAATGGAATTATTTTTATTCAAACATTATTTTTAACAGATACTTGTCTTTGAAAGATAGTGGGTACTAAGTTTTCTTTAAGTTTTGTTGAATGTGTAAGCCATAAGACAAAATGCACATAGCTTAAAATAAAATAAATATTGTGCATCTATTTAAAACACAAGTATCCACCAAAAATAATGGATTCATATCTTTCCCAAGGTTTTTTGCATGTAAGTAAATGTAACAAGACCAGACAAGAATTTGAACTCTGATTTCTCAATGCAAGCAGGTATAAATTACACCACCACCACACATTTTATTTATTTATATATATATATATATATATATATATATATACACACACACACCCCGGCCAAAATGTTAAGACCAGATATAAAAGGGTTAAAAAATAATATAAAACACTGTTACCTTAATCAAAATATATTTGCGAAACAAAGAGATTCAAGCCTAACATTAAATCAGATAAAAGTGAATACAGATGTTGAATGCAGTTCTCGAACAATTCGACAGCATTTAAATAAGAAAGTGTTTAAGAACTTGAAATGGCTGTAGAAGCCTAACCTTCTTCTTTGCCATAAAATCTTCTGTTTACAATTTATCTCTGATTATCAAACTTGAGATGTGGATAAATGGAAGAAAGTATTGTTTTCAGATGAGAAAAAATTCTATCTTGATGGCCCCGACGGTTTTCAGTGTTACTGGCATGCAAAAGATGCCCGAAAAGAAATTTTCTCAACACTACACAGTGGAGGTGGATCAATTATTGGCTGGGGGTTCATTTTCGTACAATGCAACTCTTGAGTTGTAGGAGGTAAAAGGTCATCAAACAGCTGCTAGTTACATTGACATGTTAAGAAAGGCATCGCTAATTACTGAAGGCCCTCATCTATGTGGAGAAAACTGGATTTTCCAGCAGGACAATGCTGCAATCCAAAATGCTCTCCAGATCAAAACCCAATCTAGAATGTTTGGGGATGGATGGCAAAGGATATTTATAAACATGAATCGCAATTTGAAACTGTGGATGCTCTTCCATGCTGCAGTTTATGCATCCTGGGTGAGCATCCCAAGCACCCTCATGCAGAAGTTAATGTGTATGCCAAAGTGAATTTTTAAATTAATTCACAAAAATGGAGGATATATTGAGAATTAAATTGTTGTTGTGACTTATTTGTTCTGAAATTATTTTTATTTATGTGGTCTTACCTTTATGACCAAACAAAAAATCCTTTTTGCAATGTTTTAAATTAAAAGCTTAAAATGTTCACTTGTTTGTTGATAAACTACATTTTCTAATTAAATGTAAAGGTTTCACAAATATATTTTGATTAAAGTAATAGTATTTTATTTATTTTTCTTAACTTTTTTTTGTAAATATAAAAAGTTTATATTTAAATATAAATATAAAAGTGAACATTGATGTCAACACTCAGAGGTGACAGGCTGTTTCATACTAGACGCAATTGTCATGCCATGAGCCTGATGATTGCATCTATTATATATATATATATATATATATATATATATATCTATATATATATGAGTAAAATAGTTATTCAAAGAATAAATCAATAGACTTAATGTAATTAATGGTGAACTCACTTTGCCAACAGATTAAGAAGGCATTAACTCCTTGTTTTTATTAAAGGTTCGATCTGCACTAAAAAAATTTCTGAAGTCTTCTAAGACATTGCTTTAACTATTGGACTAATAGTCCACAGCATGTCAACGGAAAAAAACACTCACTATAATAGAAATTGTGAATTACTACATTACTACAATTTTCAAGAATCTAGCGTCACATTACTGCATGTTCAAAACAATTCTTAACTGTCAATAAAAGAACATGTTTTAATAAAGCATCTTTTGACAAGTATCACATTCATTTTTGTCTTGGAATTTTACTTGAAATTAAGAAAAAAATAGCCTCTATGCTTGAGGATGGTAAATGATTTTACTGAAAGTACTTGCAAGCAATATGGACCGAACATTTAATGCATTGTACAATTAATAAAAACAAGGATCATGTCATTTAGCAAGTGGACAGTGAGTTAATGCCTTCTTAATTTGTTAGTGAAGTGAGTTTGCCATTAATTACATTAACTTTATTGATTTATTCTTTGAATGACTATTTTACAATATTAAGTTGCATTATTTTATATATATATATATATACACACACACACACACACACACACACACATATATATATATATATATATATATATATATATATATATATATATATTAATTATTTATTTAAAATGATTCCAAAACGCTACATAAGAAGTCTCATGTTTCAAAACAAGAGCCGAAAACTTCAATATAATTATTTAAATTAAATTGAGTTAAAATAAGCTCTGTTCCATCCTTTGGCGAAATTTTTTTTTTTTTTTTTGTTATTTTGTATCGAGCACTATTTTTAAAAAAAATAATAACTAAAATACTAAGGACTTTGGATTATTTACCTAACCAGTTCCTTCCTATTTTCTATATATTTTCCATATATATATATATATATATATATATATATATATATATATATATATATATATATCTCACTGGTTACTTGTTTTTTCCAGAGCATGTCAGTTTACTAAAACAGGTAGCCAATCTCTGTTGCAGATATCTTTATACTGCCTCCATGATGAGTAGATTTAGTTACAGTTTCTGGGAAAGATCACATAATCAGTAGGCATTTTTATTTTGATTACCTGTCACTTCTGCTAGCACATCCACAGACAGTTCCTGAATAGTTCTGTCTACCCAATTTCATTCACAAAGCCTATGGTCAATCCATGATGCTGTTTTTCAACTCTTTCCAAAGGTGGCACATGCTGGTACCACCTTCCTGACAAATCAACCATGGCGAGATTTGAATCCATTCTAACCACTTGGCCATCAAACACACACACATACACAATTTTATTATATAAATATTATTTTTATAGTGGATACCCATGTTTGTTTAGACACTCTATTTATTTATTTATTTATTATTAAACAGCATAAATTATTATATTATTATTTTTCATTCCAGTTAAATATGATGTGATTTTTTATTTTTGTTATCTAGCTTTTTGTGATTTTTTTCTATCACTAGTCTGTAGGGTTTGATGAAGGATCGTTTTCCTTAAAACCTAAAGGATTTATTAGTCAGAAAGCATTTCAAATCATTGATCTGAGAAAATGGTTGTATGTTGATGGTTTAAACTAGTTATGGGCAAACTGTTTTCACATTCTAAATGGCATGCTGAATTTCATGAGGATAACAACATTTATTAGTTTTGTTTGCTTAACTTTAGGTATGACTCACAATTGGATTCTTTGTCATCATCACTGGACAATACTTTAGCCCTGACAGGGCTGTGCAAACTGTGCCTTACAGGTCATATGCAGTCTGCCTGAAAACTTTTTTTATGCAGCACAACAAACATTATTTCTAAAATGTCTATTTTAATTAAAAAAAAAAAGTTTTTATTTTTATTTTTTTTTATTTTGTTACTTGTACAAAATAGTAAGAATGACA